ATATGGTTGATATTTAAATAATTCTGGAGCCATATATGGAATTATTCCATATATTTGAGATTCTCTTGAAAGATTTGGTTCAATATTTGCTGGTTGACTAAACCCTAAATCTGAAATTACTGGAAATCTATAATCATCATTACTATTTTTATCATATTTATTAACAAGAATATTACTACTATGTAAATCTCGATGTATAATTTTCCCATCATGAATTTTTGAAATTCCTTTAATAATATTATATAAATATCTAGTTTTTTGTTTCCATGAAAATACTTCGAAATTTTTGTGTATAAAATGATGCAAATCTCCACTTGACATATATTCTAAAACAAAAGCATAATTTTTTGTTTGTGGATCCTGCGTTACGCCATAACATTCAATTATGCAATAAGACTCAAACCCGAACTGAAATGTATGTTTCAGCTATTTTTTTCAAATGCAATAAAATAAATATTAATAAATTAAAATAATTAATAACAATAAACAAATGGTTTTTACCTCATTTAAAAATTCTGTATCCACATTCTGGGAGTTATTTAGTATTTTCAAAATAATTGTTTGTTTTGACGACCGCTTAACAGTACCTTCATAATTTATTCTTTTATTAATTTTCCAAGTGGCTTTGAAAATTTGACTGAAACCACCTTGCCCAATTTTCTCTAAATCTTTAAACTCTTCGAAAGGAACCCATTGTAGCAATGGATCACAATTTCTATTATTTGGTGACTGTGTTCCTTTTATGAAATTATCAATGTTTATATTGCCACTGTTAGAGATTAGAGAATCAATGCCATGACAATAATAACATATATATGAACCATTAATACGACTTCTTCGTTTACATTTTAAACATTTCATTTTTTTGTTAGATCCATCAAGTTTTCTTGTGAAAAAATGAAGCATTTTATTCAAATAAAATAGAAACGAGAGATCCGAAAAAAATCCTCTTGTACATTTATTAAAAAAAAAAAATTTATTTAAGAATTTTATTGAAAAAAAAAATTTTTTTATTAATTTGTCGAAAAAATTAAAAGTTCATTTATCGCCACTCTAAAAAGGTTTAAACGAAATTTCCCGATTTAGAAATCATATAAAAAAAAAAAAAACAAAAATTCGTTCATTAGAAGTATCAACGTGGTAATAAAATTGAAACAGATTCGAATTCACAGATTCCGAGTCACATACGATAAATAATGATAATTGATTTAATAGAAAATTTTATAAAATGAAATTTCCTTTTTAGATATTATATTGTAATCTGGATTGAATTTGATTGGCCGTATCTAAATGACAATTAAAATTATAAATATCACAATAATTCTAAATTCGTAAATGAATGAGCAATCAATTTTTATTGTTGCGAATATTTATATTTAGTAAAAAAAAAGACTTCACTTTATCCACATTATCCACATCCAGATCATCGTGAATAAGAATCGTATTTAAAACTCATTTAAAAATGTTGCTTGACCAATGGACATTTTGTTTGGGTTGATAAAAAACAGTTGACCTCCCGTGAAAATCTAGCAGTGGTATCAAGGTTGTACATTTATAACTTACCCATGATTGCGGAGAAATAGCTTATTTGACTCTGTCTTGCTCTTGGTAACATTATGTCTTAAACAGCTAAATCATAAGCATAGATACCTTGTAAATGAATACCATAGGAAAACTACTTCTTGGCTATCGTGTACCTTTGATGTTATATTATCCATTCATAGTGTATGAGGCGTATATAAGCATAACATGTAATTGGCATGGTTTGATTCATATGAATTAGAAGGAAAACGTGGAATGTAATCTATTTATTAATGGGGAATTTTTATTTAACTATGCCAATTAGGTATCTTTAGTTAACTATAGATGTCTGATTCAATCCATTTGAGGGAAACATATTATCTTGGAAATAATTAATATGTCATTCGAGTACGTAACACACATAAATTGTACTCTATTACAAGAGGAAACATACATCTTCATTAATATAATCATAAAATTGAAAGATAATTCGGTGATTTATTAAATTTATTAAAGATTTATAAAGTGTGACAAAGTCATAATACAGCAATACATTGGCACATTATAACTTTATTTTTAGCAACTAATCGTATTATGATCAACATATTATCATCATTGTCATCATTCCGCGTTTTCGTCTAAATTTTTCAAAAAAAATTATCAAACAACCATAATAATAATAACCATTAACACCATCACATCAACAACGGCATCGAGATCAATATTATCAAGAAAAACTTACCAATAGCATTAGCATCAACATTAGCATCTTCATCGTCATCCTCATTTTCATTAAATGAAGATTACAATTCATTCATTATCGAATTTTAAGTAATAATTATAATATCAATTGTACCAACTCAATTATACGATTTAGATTAATTACGACCGACGAATCAATATCAAAGATCGATGTTAGTAGTGATAATAACGGTGAATACTAATTATTATCAGATAACCTGTGTCAAATTAAACCTGGAATCGCATTTAGTTTAAATTCGGATTTAAATAATCAGAATTCTTTGAAAAATCAATTTTTCACTTCTTCTTTGTATAACACGGTGGGATTAATTATTATGAAGATAGTATTAATATTTTATGCCATATTGCGAAATTATATTTTGATAACTTATTTATGCGGTGGTGGAAATAATTCTGGTACTTTAAATAATACGAGATATAATGTTTATGGAATTATTGTTGATAGGTTATGAATTGTATTAACCTAGTAGGTATTATTTTATTATTTTATTTGATAATTTTATATTTAGATGATTTTTTATTATTTTTTATAATTGATGATTACCTCTAGGAGAAAATTCAATTATTATGGAAGGAATTTAGTATACTGTAAATTATTTCTATCCTAAATTAATTAATTATTTATTTATTTATATTATTTATTATCAATTAATTAAACATTTGGTGGAAATTAATAATGAATTTTAGAGGTAGCAAAAAAGGAATAATAACACTAAATAATATTCAAAATTTTAGTCAAATTATACATCAATAGAAGATGGAGGATATGTTAAAGTGACAGCTCAATATAATAGTACAAATGTATTGTCATTGTTTCCTCCCTGGACAGTATTCGTAAATTTTATATCCCTTACAGAAAATGAGACTTTAGATCTATTTCAAATATTTAATTAAAACGAGATCATCTTATTTTCATTCAATGTATTGATGTGCGATCTCATTTGCTTCATTCTGTTATAATTGTATTATTTTATCAAATGGATATTTATGGGAGAAAGACTTTTTAAATCAAGAATTTCTAAGAAGTGGAGCAATGATTAATGCCAACACGATTAATGTTTACAATAATAATAATTTTGGGAGGATTAATTGTCTGGGATGCGAAACCTTCATTTAAAGTTGGATATTTGATACTTACCGAAATGTGGTTGAATCAAACCATACAATTTCCGGTAGAATTATGGTTGTTTTTATGGTGATTGGGGATGCCAAATATTTATAATTACACTCGATGCGTTGGGATATTTCTTAATAATACTATTTGGGGATTGTTATAACTTGAATAATACTTGGACCTTTGTTTCTTTAGTTTATCAGATTATCGAACATGTTTCATTATATATTATTATTTATTATTATTATTATTATATTACAGATCCCGGTGGTTGCGCATTTATAAATTCACGGAACCCAAAAATCAGAAATTATTAATTCCAAAAATATCAAAAAAATTATTATAAATTCTATTTCTGAATTTACTTTTTCAAATACTCCCACTACAACATCATCATCTTCCTCATCTTCCTCATCATTATCATCAGATTATCTTAATTCAATTTTTTCATTATCAACACTATTTTAAACAAATATTTTCAGGAATTAAGAATAATTATCCAATAGAATTTGATGTCATAGAAAGTACATTTAATCAAGATGTAATTTATACTTGCGAACGTGGTCCAAATGATCAGCGGTAAGAGTTTTATTATTATATTTATTATAAGTAAAATATAATTATTATTGATTAATTTTTATTAATTAATTTATTATAAGTAATATGTCAACGAGACACATTAGATAGTTCCAAGTATAATACCGATACTCACATTAGCATCATACTGTTTGGTATCATTGTTTAAACTTTTTAGTATAATCATATATTAATCGAAATGCAAGTTTCCAAAATTAGCAGAATCTTCTTATAACAATGATGATACTAGTAATAAAGAGGGGAAGGGAAAGAAGAAGCAGATGGAGATGATGATGGTAAAATAAAGATCATGGAATAATAGGCGAAAGTGTAAGATTCTACTGATGAAAGTTTAGTTCCTATCCTTTCATAAAAACTGTGCCATCAATGGATAAATTAATTGGTTGATAGTATCACTGAAATTGTAGATAATCTAATGATGGAGATGATAATAATGAGGATAATAATGATAAAAAGTCATTAGAAGAGGGAAATTAAATAAAAAATGTTGAAGGACAATTACCACCAAATAACACCACCAATAATAACTTCAACGTCAATAACAACTTCACCTATAGAAATAGTATAATAAGCAATAATCCTCTGATTCTTACAAGTGAAGAATGCACTCAAAAATGATCTAACTCCTTCTGAAAAACAATTAATGTCATCAAACTTCATATCTATACCATTAAAGAAGGGATTATTTAGTGGTAGTAGATCAACTAAAAAGGAAATAAAAATAGTAGAAGTGGTGTTGTTATTGATAAAAGTGTTGGTGAAGGTCCATTCAGTAAGCTTGAGTAAAGGTAAATTAAGAGAAATAATATCAAAAACAACAAAGATAAAGAAAGCAAAGAAGATGATAAAGATGAAAAATATAATTAGAATAATAAATACTTATATATATATATAATTAGTTTTTTTTCTTTAATTTCACATTTTTACTTTGAAAAAAATTTTGCCTACTACAAATCATAAACAGTATTTTACATTTATATCTTGTGTGAATTTAAAATAATACACAAAATTATTAGCTATTTATTACATTTTACATAACGTATATATTTATTGCAATTACAAAAAAAAGAAATAAAACTAGTAAATGAAGAAATTAAAAATTCAAAAAGTATATTTAAATAATAAATAGATAAAAAACTTTAAACAAATCACATTTCTTATATATACCATATATAATTATATTTTATAATGTTAAATAAAACAAACTGATAAAAGTACGCGAACTATATTTAATGAATTGAAATGATACAATATTTGCGTTCTTAAGTCGTAAAAATTCAACAATTTTTCTTTATGAAAATATTTATATTATGTACAACCATTGGTTTTTTTAAAGAAAAATTTAAAAGGGTATCCCCCGACGGTGAAATTTAATTTCTAATTTATGAAAGATATGAAAATAAAATAAAATAAATTTGAATTTAAAGAATTTGTTATAAAAAATATATAATAGAAAAGAGATAATATTTATTGATATGTAAGAAAAAATTATAATTATTTATAAAGTCACTAAATTCATCTTTATTATAATTGTATGTAAAAAAAAATTTAAAATAAGTAATTTAAAAAATATTAGATTTTAATAATAACTGTATCCATACCTTCAACTACAAAACATTCATTAAATTATTCAACAAATTTTCTTCGTTTAAAGTCATCTGTTTGATAAAAATACAAATTAATAAAAAATAATTAAATTTTCTATAAAATATAAAATATTACTTTGATCTTCAATGCTTTATTCTTGTAATAATTCATCCAAAAAATTTTTTTAGAATTTACCGTACTTGAATTATGGTCTGAATTTTCAAAATTATTCTTCTGATTAGAACTATTTGAAAATTTATTAAAAATAAAGATCATTAGTGAAATCAATTAGTAACTGAAGTATACAAAAATATTTAAAATATATAAATATAATATAATTCTCACTTGAAATCCATTATATCAAAATGATCATTGGAGAGTAAATGATCATTAGAATAGATCTATAGAAATCATGTCATGTATAAAAAATTATCATTATAATGAATTATTTCATTTTAAAAATTATTTAAACCAATAAATACCTGATATTTTTGAATTAATAGATTTTATCATGGAATTTAATGGATTTGGAATTTTTACAAATGGTTTTTTTGACTCGATCATTTCAAGTCGTTTTTTTTCTGCTTCTTTAGACTCCAACCAATAATATTGTTTGTAATGATCTTCAGAATGACGACTATTATAATATTCAAATTTTTGTGATAATTTATAAATTTCTTGTATCGTTGGTCGTTGTGATGGATCAGGATGCCAACATCTTTTCATTAAATTGCCCAACATTCTGTGTATCTTCTGTAATTTCTGGTCTTTTTCCATCTAAAATATCTAATATAAGTTTTGGTCCATGTTCTTGATCATGAAATGGTCTATACCCAGATGTTAATTGCCACATAATCATTCCTAAACTATAAATATCCGATGCATATGAATATGGTTGATATTTAAATAATTCTGAAGCCATATATGGAATTATTCCATATATTTGAGATTCTCTTGAAAGATTTGATTCAATATTTGCTGGTTGACTACATCCTAAACCTGAAATAACTATATTTATATTACTAAAACCATAATTTTTGTAATTAATTTCCTATTAGCAAGAATGTTACCACTATTCATAATTTTCTTATTGTGAATTTTTTTAATTCCTTCAAATATACTATTTAAACAATTAATTTTATTTTCCCATGTAAAATTTTCAAAGTTTTTATGTATAAAATATGCAGATAATTTTTTGTTTTTGGATCCTTACTCCATAACATTCAATTATTTCTTTATAAGTATAAGACGACTTATCCCTGAACTGAAATGTATGTTTAACTATATTTTTTCAAATACAATAAATAAATATTAATAAAAATTCTATATCCACATTCTGGGAGTTATTTAGTACTTTCAAACAATTTTTAGTTTTGACAGCCCCTTAAAAGTACCTTAATTACTTATTCTTTGTTTAATATCCCAAGTAGCTCTAAAATTTTGACTGAAACCGCTGTGCCCAATTTTCTTTATATCTTTAAATTCTTCGAAAGGAACCATTGTAACAATGGATCAATATTTCTACTACATGCTGAATGTGTTCCTTTGATAAATTATCAATGTTTATATTACCGCTGTTAGCAATTAAAGAACTCATTCCGTAACAATAATAACATATATGTGAACTATTGATACGACTTCTACGCTTGCATTTAATACATTTGACGAATTTATTAGATCCATCAAGTTTTTTTTTCAAAAATTTCAGTCGTTTCATTCAAATAAATAGAACCGGAGAACTTATGAATAGTGGATGGTCCAAAAAAAATATCTTATTTATATTTATTGAAAATAATACGTTTGTCTAACATTGAGAAAATTAAATGTTCTAGAATTATAATTATTTTAAAAAACTCCGAGATTACACTACATTTGTGAAAGATGAGTTTTCTTTTAATTCGAAAGTTCTAAACATTCGAAAACGAATTTCCTGATTTATATATTCGAGTTCCCTTCTTTGAAGAAAAAAAAAGAAAAAGAAATTCATTCTTTGGAAGAATTACTGTTGGCAATAAACTTTTCATTCGATTTTACAGATTCGAGAGTCACATACCGATCAGGAAAAAAAATCAATAATAATATCAAAAATAAAATATAGATCGATAGATTCCACCAGCAAAAATTCCAAACATTTATTAAATCGTTAGAAAGGTCTCCTATTTTACTCTCGTCTTTTTACACATATATGTATCGCAAATGACAATGGCAAGGAGGATTATTAAAAAAAAAACAGACAACATGACCTCACTTTATGCATCGTATCACATTTGGAAATTGTTATTTAAAACTCTTAAAATCCAATGGACATTTGTTTGGTCTATAACCGGACCATGTATTAACTGAACATGATGCAAAAGTTTATTCGACTCTGTCTTGAACAACCTTGAAACAAAAACCTTATAAATGAATGCCATCGAAGAATGCTTCTTGGCTCTTGTGAACCTTTGATGTTATAATTATTCATTCTGAGTAATATCCAAGCAAAACATGCAGTTGATTCGTAGGAAAGAATATATATTTAAGGTGGAGGATGCAATCTATCTATTGATAGATATATCAATGGAGCCTGTGGAATTTTCCTTCAGGCTTTCTATCATATCATGCCAATACATAATACAATATTGTACTCAGTTATCACAAATTGAAAATTAAGCCAAGATTTATAGCAGCACTTGGCCCATGATAACTTTATCTTTAGCAACCCTATAAATATCATCGCGGCATTATTTTTGATCAACATATTATTATCATTTATTATCATTCCGCGTTTTCTTTTATATATATAACAAGCGGTCATGAACCAGGTGGGGGGGCTTGTTTTATGGTAATTTTTTTGGAAAAAATAGAATTCTGAACTGAGTATTTATGTTATTTGGACTTATTTACTAATTCAATTTTTACTTATATTTTGAATATTTGCTAAATTTATTACAATACTGAATTATAATAAATGATTTATATTTTATAATAAATAAACTATTTGACATTAATTCAAAATTTAAAAATATTATTCATGAATTCCACTAATTCTTTGACTATATTCACAAATTCCTTTATCAAAGATATCTTTAAGTCTTGTATATTCGACTAACATTTGATCTACTTTAATTGCAGATAAATCAAATGATATTATATTTAATGATTCCCATGATAGTGAATAACTCAAAGCAATATATGCTTGACCAGTAGCAAACATAGATTTGGATTCATCAATTGAAACTGTTGAATGAGGTAAGTCAATCCTTGTCTTTTATGCAAAGTCAAAGCAAATGCATTTTGTAATGAAAACTGTTTATGTCGTGCTGGTGATCCATAAAAATTAAAATAAATTGTTTCTTTAATGACTTTTACACAAGAAATTCCTTGAGTTAATGGAAATGCAACTATTATATTTTCTTCATCAAGAATTTCCAGTATTAAAAATATAGCTCTTGAAAATCTTCCAAATTAGAAGAAACATCTCAAGATATTGTTCATAGCATGTCTGGTGTTGAAGAGCTGATTGAGATAGAAGATGATAATATTTAAAAAAAAATCTTTGGTTAAATTTTTTTATCATATATACAGTATATGATTATTTTTATTACAAATAAAGATTATATTTTTTATTAACTTTTTATAAACATCAGAAAAATGAAAAATTTTTTAAAAACAAAATATTTTAATTTAAGTTTAATTTCTGAGTGTGAAAAAAAATCTGTAAATTGGTTCACACGAATGATATACAAGCAAAAATTTAAATTCAAGCATTCCTATACCTGGGAAACAATTTCACTTAGTCCCTCAATGCCAGTTTTTTTTTGATTAAACCCACAGAAATAATTTCATAAATTTCCAAGAAATGCATTAAAAAAAATTGTAATTTGGTCCACACGAATAATATATGTGAAAATTTAAATTCAAGCATTCCTATACCCGGGAAACAATTTCTCTTAGTTGCTCAATGCTAGTTTAATACAATTTAAAACTTTTTTTTTATTAATTTTTGATAAAAGAAAAAATTGACTCCATAGTACTTTCAAACTTGTGCAATTTCCATATTATACTTCATGCAAGGGGCATATAAAAAATTATCTGAGGTTTTTTAAATCTATTTTAGGCATTGAGGTAAATGATTTTCATAAGCTAAACTAAAAAAACTACTGATTAAAAAAAAATATAAAAGGAATTAAATACTACACATTCTCTTAAACGGACCTTCTAATATGGAATTTTTTATAAAAAGGAATTTTATACTGTGACTTCTAAAATTTTTCAGATTATTTTGTTTAAAGATTATATTAAATGTATTGTGAAATTTATTATAAAATTAATTCTTACAATAATTGTATAGATTCATATTTCTTATTCACTCTATTATGACGATCTATATGCAGTAATATTTCAAATCAAATACTTTTTAGAACAAATTCTTTCTTCTCTTGTTAATATCACTTGGTCTTGTTTATGATTTCTCTACCACTTCTTCTAGTGAAATACATTCTTTTATCAACTATTAAATGTTGAATTTGAGATGCATTAAACATTATAGCGCTGCATTACAATTTTTATTTACCATTCTTATTATCCAATCATACATAATAAAATAATTTTAACCTTTTTTAATAAAAACCAGCTGTATCCTGTTAATATTTTGTACAGATCGAGTCACCTAATCCCAGCAACTATTAATATTAGGTGCCAAATTTTATATGATTTATTTTGGGCACATTAAAATAAAGAATAATGAACATATTATGTAAATTGTTAATACTAAATACATATAAATTAAAAATTCATAAAAACCAAATTATCAAAAAAAGTGTATTACTAATAACATATTTTTTCCAAACATCACGAAACATTATTGTTTAAGTTATTTAAGGTTTTCAATATAGTTTCTAAATTTTGTTCTAACTTATCAAATCTTGTCTCAAGATTATTAAATCTTTTTTGTATCAATAATCGGTCATCAATATTTGTAGTGGTATCTGGATGATCGTTATTACTTGATTCATTCTTTAATAAATTGCTGTTTGGTTTCTTTTTATATTTAGAGAAAGTAACTCTTAATATAAAAACTTCTTCATCGATAAATGCAATTTTATCAATTTTATCACAATATTCGGTTATACTGGGTTCAATATCCTTAATACTTGAAGAACCTTCATTTGGTATATATAGATGTTTTTTTGAATTAGATGAATTATCTAAAATTTATAATAAATTTAATAAATTTAAATAAAATTAATTCATGTTAGGATTGAAACCGTTTTTTGCAAGAGAATTTACATGCAAATTTCTATTATCAGTTATCACCTTGATTATCATCATTGTCACTATCATCATCGAAATCTGTTAAATCTGTTGATTCAACCAAGTTCATGCCCATAAAACGTGATTTTGGCTCCTTATACTTTTTGGTTTCCTCAAGACAATTATTAATCATATCGGGATTAGGTATGTAATAAATGTATCGGGGATTACTTTTTTTGCTAAAAGGTCTTTCTGAAGAGTCAATATATTCAGTACGATATCTGCGAGCTGCTTTACGACTTTTTTTATTTGCTTCATCAAATGCACCACTATAAATTAAGAGAGTTAAAATAATCCAAAAATTTTTTAATCTTGTAAAGTTACAACTTTTACAGAAATTTTATAATGCGAACAATTCATAATTTATAATAATAATTAAATAATATACTCGCTTCATAAATGAAATCAACATATTTTGGAAAATTAATACCAATATTATACTCCCAATTATACTCATTATCTCTAAAGCATAATTATCCCATTGGTCTAATTGATCCCATCGTCCATTGGTCCAAAAGAATACAGCTTCCACTGATGAGATGAAACTTGAATAACGATTATCAAGTCGGGAAGTTGCATCGATATCCTGTTTAATTATTATATTTGAGTATAAGTCTGGATCCGAATTGTCTTCAATTTTATACGCGGGAATTCGGATGCTTAATTCATCGTGCAGAAGAGTGAACCTGAAGATGATTAAAATAATAAAATATAATAAAATATAATGAAATAAAATAGATTAGTAATGTTTAAAATAATGAAAACAAAAAATTTATCATAATTATTATTTAATATAATTACATAGCGAGACCAAATGCAACTACAGCACTCAACATGAATGCAAAAAATGGCAAAATAGTATTTAAAATACTTATAATTATATAAACAAAACGTCCTGGACCTTCAAAATATCTCAATAGAAGTAACTATAAATAACAAATAATAGAGAATAAATAATAATTATAAAAGAATTTTATTATTATTAATGAAAATATTAATAATAATAAAAATACTGTACTAATAATCTCTTTATTTAGAAAGAGAGAAGAGAAAAAAGAAGACAAAAAAAAAGACCCACCACTTCAAGCCATATAGTTAAAAGCGTAAACGCAGAAACAGCGTCACAATATTTCTCAGTGGCTTTTACACTAAAAGTTAAAAGAGTACTTACAATCGATAAAAACACTGATACTAGATCAAAAATCCGATAAATATTCATGTCTCTACCACTATCAATCTTGACAACAAATGATAACATTAGAATAATAAATACTATGTTGAAAAATTTATTAACTGATATAGTAACTGAAAAAGCGTATAATATATAAATCATGATACGGAAAATATGATATCGACGGGCAGTAGTTGACCATTTAAGATCTAAGACTGCCATAATTGGAGGTGTCTGATAAATTTCATGACCTTTCTCCTCATGAATAACACGACGGAAAGGACTCATCATTTTAGTATCAGTAATAACTTCGCTACTTAGCAAACAATATGAATATATCCAACTATATTTTGAAACTTCATAACCTTCGGGATTGCGAGAGGTAGGATATACTGTAAAATCAGGCAAAGGGACTATATAAACTTTACGATCATTATGTGAAGTTTCAATCCTACTATAAATTCTATACCATTTTTAAAATAGACAATTAGAAAAGAAAAAATGACCTAAATCCTCTTTATGATCAATGATTATATTACCTTGTAAATAGATTTTTTAAGAAAAACCATCGAGAATTATGGAACTTTGATGCAAGACACGGTTTCACTGCCAAAGAATATAGCACAGCTGCATTATTTCCTTTCTTTTGATCTTGAGGGTTTATGCGTAATGGTGGAGTGTAAGCTTCAGTGGTTCCAAAACATGGTTTTTTAAATAAATATTGAACAAATTCTCCTTTTAGAAAATTTAATCAAATTTAAAGTGATTAATTAATCAATTAATATAATAAATTCATCAATATAATTAATCAAGTTTAAAGAAAATGAAGATTTTGACTTACTTAAATTATTATCATATAATAAAGGTATTGCTTTGCTTACAGTAAACATCCAACCATGATTATTATATTCTTTAGTATTATCAGCATAATAATCTATTAAATATTTTAAAATTAGTATGGAATCTCCCCTTTTTTGAATACACAAAATAGTATAATCTAAATCCGACTTTGATCTTTCAGTTTCATTATTATCTTCCCCCCATTTACATAATCTTGGTATATATATGTTACTATTTTTTTTATTAATTTTCTTTTTTAAAATATGTCTTATTAAACTTTCTTGATGACTTTTAATGAGAAATTTCATAATTGGATATCTAATACTTGTCAATCTAAATATTCCATATTTTGTAATAAATTTTCGTACTAATCTTTGTGTACATTCAATTAAATATGTAATTTGACTAACATTTTCATGACCAATTACAATACTTTTCTTCTCTCCTAGTACATAAAGGGCTATACATGCCTCTTCAAGAACATTTACATTGTTTGGCCAATGTATTGTTATTGTTGGTTTAAAAGAAGGTGATGTAGAAGGTGGCGTAGAAGAAGATACTGAAACTTTTAACACAAATTCTCGTTCTCCAATTCTTAGTTCTTGAACGTCCATCGTATATATTCGAGCCCGGATGTATTCTAATACTCGATCTCGCTTTTCTATAGTATTACGATATTTCCATACTTGTATAGTGTTACTCGAAATAATCAATTGCGTACTCTCAGTAGAATCCAAGTAAACCGATATTCGAAAATAACTTTTGTTTGGATGCCACGGTTCAACATTATTTATAATTATTCGATTTGCTAATTTTGATGCATCTGATCCATCTATATTGTAAATTGCATGATAAACATGATCCCTCGCAATATCAATCTCAGTCATTTTCTTTTCTGAAGGAGTTGTAGGGTTTCTGATAGAAGACACATCTTTATGATCTAACACTGAAAAAATATCTCCATTATCTGTAATCACAAACATATTTCCGTGAGAATTCATTAATCTATGTGCGACATCCATTTTTAGGGGGTTTGAAGTTTCGGAATAATTGATTTGACGTATGGAATTTTCAAATGTGGTAAATAAGTCCCATACTACAAATATTTGATGCTTAGAATTTTCACGTTGGTGATCTTTTTCTTCAAGAACTATTAAAAGCTTACGATCGTCATCAATAAAATTTATAGCAACAATTTTATAAACTCCTCTTTGTCCCTTTATTTGTTTAGTAGTAATTTCCAGTCCATTTTCCATAAAGTATAATGTAATGCTGCTAGTTCCCCGACAGATTGCTAAAATCATGTCATTTTGAGAGATGGCAAAGATAGGAGGTCCATGAATTGTATTTGGAGCCAACGAAGATTCATGACGTTTAAATAACATTTCTAGATCACCAGTAATTAAACTATACATTTCAATTATTTGCTGTCGATTTTCAAAAGAATGTACCATAAAATAATTTTTAATAATACTTGTGTGTAAAAGTTCGAATGAATTTTGCCAATGATCACGTGAAAGACGAAGGCGAATTGAGGGTAATTCGAATTGCTCAATCTTAGATGATCGTGAAAAAAATCTTTGCTTGCGATTAAGATTACTCACGGTTTCTTTATAAATTCCTGATGCATTAACTATAATGATTACTGTTTTGTTTTTTAACAGACTATCATCACTATCAAGGAATTTTATAACACCACCAATCGAAGAAGTATATATTTCTTTTAAATCAGTAGTAGAGATAACCCACGTTTGAGGACGAAGATATTTATCACCAGATTCTAAGTCACCTTCGTCGTCACCATGCATTATATCATTACAAAGTCCTCTTACATCAAAACACGACAATGCGATATAACGTTCATTTTTACCATCGTCTACACAATTGGATATTGCTATGGACCAGCAAAGACGTTCACCTTTGACTCCTGATTCAAGTGTAGAAATATGTTTACTTGAATTTAAATCATCAACATTATATAACTTAAATTCGAGCGTCTCTTTTATTTTATTAAATTTTTAAAAGATTAGTAAAAAATTATTAATAAAAAGAAATAATAAACATAATAATTATTGAATGATTAATAATTAACTTTACTTGGGCTAAAAGTAACAATTTGTCGACTGTCTGGACTTATCGCTATGCAACTACCGAAAAACGGAGAATCTTTCTCAGTTTCCTCAGGTAGATCATTTGTCGAATGATTTGACATATTTTGTGAATATGACAATTCAGTGGAAATAAATCTATGGTATTTTTTTTTATATATGTACTGCTTGCATATTAAATGTATTTATATTAGCCTCATTGTAATTTTTCCCGGTTTTTTTTTTAAATGAATAACGGGTTTCCTCTTTATTCATAAAAATGACATTGTAAATAAAAATTGGCTAAGATAGAATCAACCACCCGACTCGTCGTTCCCTGAAAGGAAATCCAATCCATTCAGCCTTCTTGATTTTTTATTTAAACATACTAAAAAGTTGTTGATGAATGATATTCTTAAATGCTCATCATTTCTTTTCCCAGAAATTTGTACTGTAGTGTTACCTTTGCTTATCTGTTATAGTAAAGATAGTAAAGAATAACAACTCCGAAAATAAGTATAACTAAGGAATACTATCTCCGAAGTCCTATAAACCGATGAAAGATACATTTTAACATCTTCTGGAATTTTAAGTATGTATTTTTCGAATTCGGTATTCTTGCATCTTGTTTTTAATTGTGATACAAGCTTTGTAAAGGCCAATGAGGGTATCATTTTTGACAGAAAGCTGCATCAAGAAATTTTGAGGCGTAAATTTACAAAATATTACGTGAAAATCAGTTTTTTTGAATTCGCTCGCTATTTATGCAACAGAGAGCGATTTTCTACCAAGGTATTTATAAGATGGATCGAAAGCCACTATTCCTGGCTACAAGTTAATATGTGTTTTATTCCTGTAGCATTGACATTCATCGAGATATTTGCGTTTAAATTCGGACGTCCGTGAAAATTTTTGCATAAATTTTCGCAATATTAACGACACTTACGGATATTTGAAAATTTTTTATTCACGGACGTTCGGCTTTAGCGTGAATATCGATGCTACAGGAATTTAACTCATATCATCTTGTAGCCAGGAACCAAGGCTTTCGATCCGTATTAGAAATACCTTAATGTAAAAGTCAAAAAACAGAAAATTTATGTAAGTCGTAATGTGACGAAAATTTACGCCCTGAACATTTTCCTTATGTTTATTATATAAAGAAAGAATGATACATAAGAGAGAGAAATAAGAGAAAATAATATAATAGAGATATATAAATGTGCAAATATATATAAAAAAAAATTGTTTTTAAAAAAAATATTCTCATTGTTATTCTTTAGTTTATATATGTATACATATATATATACTTTATATACATAAAATTTACATATCCACAGCATTAAAAGTCCTTAAAGTGAATTTAATAAAATTTTTATATATGTTTTTTGCAGACTTGCGAGTTTCTTCCAAGTGCACCTAATTTATATATTGGGTCACAATTGTCTTTAATCTATTAATAAATTCGAGAAAGAGTGTAAATGTTTTTTAAAAATTTCAAATACGATTAATAAGATCAATATAAAATATAAGATTGTTTCCATTTTTTAAAAAATTCTCCCGATTGTATAAAATCCAAGAGACACATGGATTCCATAAATCTAGGGGAAGTGAGATTATTATTTAAAGTCAATTCACATATTGATCCGCGAGTCAACTGACGTAATAAGCTAGATTTTTTTTTATGTAATGAATCAACATAGAATATATGCTTTAATAGTGACGCGTAAGTTTCGACCAGTTAAAATTAGTTTTCAAAACATTATAAATTTTAAAAATTAAGAAAATATGGTGCACCAAGTCTAAAGGCATCCAATATTTTAAACTACTAAAACATTGTATCTAAATAGAATTAAAAAAAAAAAATACGTTATTTGACAGCTCTAGATTAGCTCTACAATTCTATGTATTTTTTTTCACTTTAACTATAATAAATTATTGATTAGTTGATGTGCAACCAACGGCGTTTTTTATATTATTAATAAAAATTTCAGCGGTAAATAATCTTCTCTGCTTGATTGAATTTTCACTTTTTGACGAAGTTTAACGTTGTTATTAGGTAAAAATAATATATAATTGCAATAAAAAATAGAATCAAATTTATATTTTTTTCCATTTTTTTATGCATTATATATATTTTTTCTTATTTCTTGTTTCATTTTTATAGTAAATAGTAATTTTAGATTTATGTGTTATTTAATTCACGTTGCTCTTTCTTTAAAATTGCGAGCATATGTACGTATCCAATTCTGTATAGTACTAACTTTAGGAATATCTTCTTCAGCAAGCTCTCCGGCTTCAACATATTTTTAAAAGCTCAGTACGCATATCTTGGGCATTCATTTTGTCTTTTTGGTTACGATTTCTATTTAGAAAAAAACGTTCCAATAGTGCTTTTATTTCCTTTTTCATTCTGTTTCCCCCTTTTCAACCAAATTTTTGGCTACTTTTCAATGCCCATCCTTTTGCCAAGGGAAACTCTGAATCTATTCAAAAAAAAAATAATGAGCATACAATTGTTATATTATGTAATTTATTATGATCATTAGTTCCTTCGCTTACCAATATATTTCGTAGTATTAATTTCTTCGGTCAAATCTATTACGTCTATAAAATTTAATAATGTATCTTTCATTCTTTCAATATAAATAATTTCGATTTATATTTTTTACCTTCATTTTCATTTTCCTTTTCATTGTCTATTACATTTTCTGTTGCATCTAGATTATTCAAATAATTGCATTAGTATCATTTTATACAATAAATTTATTCAATAAAAACAAGACTGAATTTATTTTACATTCAATATCTATATTATTTTCCAATGAATCTAAATATTTTATAATTGTTCAAATAATTTATTTAGTGTCAATTCAATTCAATTCAATATGTACTAATAGACAAAAATTTGTTTGCCTGATTCAACTGTGATTGACATAGTCAATTGAGTCTCGGAGGTAGTATATTGAGATATTGATGGTTGAGGTCGGTAGAGAGGAGAATTCCAAAGGTCAGCAATATACGATGGTGAAAAATCAGTCCAATTTCCAATGTGAGGTAATTAACGGGCACGTGTATGTCCTTCATATTTATCTTGGCATGGCCATTCCCAATAAAAAATTTTGAGATTCCTTTGATTGTTTTAATTTTTGACTTCTTTTTTGTATTTTTGGATTTATCGGATTCATGATTTTCTTCACTCTCTTCATCATTACGATTTTGTTCAAGATTAGTTCCTGATAAGTTCTTTGTCGCTTGAACTATATCATCACCACTTGATATGTTATGTCCAATTCGTAAATATCGTTCTATTGCATGTGTAATCTAGAAATTATAATGTATTGATTAGTTTACCAATATACAATAATAATAAAAAAATTTATACTCACTGCTGTATGATGGGAATCAATTGTAGTTTTAGCTTCACCAGGTTCAAGAAACAACTTCTTACTTTAATGTTATACCAATAATACCAATGACTTATAATTGCCATAAGTTCAGAATTATGATAATGTGGACCATAATTTTGATCCATTTAGGTTTTTTCTCAACTGTTTCAAAAACAACTTCAAATGAAGAAGCGGTAAACCAAGCATCTTGTTTGGTATCCAAGTACCAGCGGTCATATCTAATTCTTTTGAATTTACATCTTTGGTAAAATTAAAATTGTATGAAGAGTCCAACCCCGCTTCCCGAAAAAATCTTGTTTTGTTTCAAGTGCTGATTGTGGTAACACTCGCATTTTATAATCAGCAATTATAACTGTAACATCGGAATCTAACTCAGACGATGTGATTTTAAATTGAGCATTTAAATAAACCTTGCGTGCTTGATGTGAAAGAGAATATAACAATTGTTCTTTGACTTCGGTAAGTTTTGATTGATAATTTTCTGAAACATTTTCTGTTAGAAAATCAAAAAACTCAAAATATTGATTACATTCTGAACATTTTTTTTCATGTTTATTATTATAATCTCCAAATGCAAATAATACACAATGAGAAATACAAAGATCATGAATTACTTTTCCATCTGAATTAATTACTAAGTCGTGTAAGTACTATGTTCTAATTGAATCAAAATTTCAAATCAATAAATTATGTTATTGCACAAATAATATTATTTGAAATTAATAACCATAAGAATCTTATCATTGAAATTACTTTGAATTATATTGGTCAAATTTTCAAAAGTTGTAAATCAGTAATCATTGCATATTGTCACGTTCTGTGCAGAACAAAGCGAAAGTTACACCAATCAGTCTCAAATTTATCACGTATATATCACTAACACGA